CCATTAGCTTCTATACTTAATACTTTGTTTGAGCAGAAGATAATGTTTTCCAAATTTACCATCTTAAAATCAGATCGAGTTCCTCTGTTTTTTGTCTTAAAAAATAACAAATGTAGCAGCCGCGATTACCCCATCTTAAACAAGGGTGATAATATAGCAAGTCAATATATTAGTGGCTATCGTTACCATTAAAAAAGTCATAAACAAAATAAATCTGACCAGTTTTGCTGGCAGCTCAACCCGTTGTGGTGCTTAGCCTTGCATAAATGTAAAACTTCAGAACTTAATCTAGTGGCGTTACTTCTCAAAATATTGTGGTTTCTTGAAAACCTTTAGTTATTGTACTTTCTTAGCTAAAAACAATTTTTTCTCGAGCTTTATGTCTTAAAGTAGATAGATATCTCGTATTAGTGTTGGAGGAATTCACACTGTAAAAAATCTAAAAAATGGCAGTTTTGGCGCCGGAAGGTATAACATCCCAAAGTACAATTATCAATTCATAAAATAGCGGATTCAGTTTGTTTAACAAATTCAGCTAAGAAGGAGAAGATAATGAAAAAATCAGTGTAGACATAACCAACTATAGAACTTTCTAAAAAATATTATTTTCCAACAAGCGCCAAAGCGCTTTTGCACTTATCGTTGTCGTTGTTGTGTGAGAAGCTAACATATACGGGGACATATAAGTGAAGAATGATTTTCCCCACCTCTATTTTCTGTCAAATAAATAACCTTTATTAATTCAAAGGGTGTAGTCAATGGTATTGAGATAAGAAAATGGAGATTAAAGAAGAACTGAAGGATAAGCTAAAAAAGACCATAATTTTGCTTACTAAGATGAGATTGCCTTGCAAATTCTAGTCATTGGTATGTTTAAAACCTGAACAATAAATTGGCGATTGTGTTCATAAAGTTCGACTTTTGACTTGAATCCCAATAAAATCTTTTTGTCTACTGAGAATCTGGCACATCTACCAATATTCCGTAAGGGTGATTGATAAATTGAGATTTACCATTTACAAGAAAGATGGGAGTTTTGTATTGCAAATCTTGATCAATTCATAATTATAAGTCGAAGGAGCAACGCCATGCAATAAGGCATTTTTATTTCAGTAATTCTGGTGAGCGCCAAGTTCTGCGAGTTGTAAAGCTTTCCTAATGATAAGAAGGAGCAATGGTTTCAGAATCGGAGCAGGAGGATACCAAGAAAGTCTGAAAACACCCCTAAAACATCAAAATTTTAAATAATTTGCATTATTCCTTTCTTCTCATTGAAAAGAATAGTGGAAATGAACTACTTTGCTTTGATTTTTGCGATCACACGTTCACAACCAACCACAATTCAAGGAAATACCGAGGGGTGCGATAAGGTACAACATCTGGCTTAAATGTCTATTACAGTGGATATTTCAAACGCTTTGTGATTCAAAAGGGTTTTATGATAGAGCATTTTACAACATTTGGTCAATATAAATTATTTGCAAACAGATTTTAGCAATGTAGTTTAAAAGTGGAAAGCAAATTTACATGTTCTGAATGTCTGCTTGTTTTCGTTTAATTGTTATTTCAATAGAATTTTGCTTTTATTTTTGATCAAAAGAATTGCCTAAGTTTAAATGAGCAAAGCAATACTTCTAAATATTTCATAGTTTAGGTTTACGAAGATTTTACGGTGATTCGAGTCGTCAAACTCGCTTTGACACTCACTGTAGCGAGTGACCTTCGAATTTGCTTAATTTTACATTAATTTTTGAAAGGGTTCAATATGTTTGACTAAGTAATTTTCATGAAATAAATTTTAGTATGGTTGAAATTCGGAATTCTTCCTATTCCAACTATGATTTGCTGCACTAATTTGATAACTAGAACTGAATAATGTACTTTGTTGCAAAGCTTCTCAGCGGAATATATTATGAGCTTTAAAAGTTTCGCAATATCAGGATTGTGAAAAATTGAAAAGTAGGCGCCTTCTAAAAAAACGTCGTCGAACATTGCCACTCTCATTACTCGTGCGAAAGAATGATTTCGTATGAAATGAATGGATGCAGCACGTTTCTAAATGACTTCAATGACTAAAATTGGCGCGTTTGGATTCCACAACTAAATTCCGTATACGATTAATGATAGACCATGGTCTCAATCACTTTTTGATATAACCTGGTACATAATTGTGATCTATCTCTTTCCCCACAATCAATGCTGTACCTTCGATTGGTGGAATAAGTAGATTTCAAATCGCTAATTTGAAGCAGCTTACCGGACAAGTGCCATTTGCAGTATTCGGTAGCATCATTAGTCGTATTTGGCATGCAAAGTTGATATCGCTTTTGTCTGCGAACTTAAACACTCTTGATCGAGCATAGGCTCGCAGCGATGTAGGATATGTGATTGCGCTTAGCAATTCTGAATCTGTGGAGCATCTGCAATAGCATGTCAGCATTTTGAAAGTAAAGTAACGGTGATCTTAGGCTAACCCTTCAGCATCGACAACAGTAAATTTCTCCTCTCCTCCATCGTCAGCAACACAGGAATGTACCTGAGTTTTTAATTGAGTTGACCTATCCCTTTATTCATATTTACGCTTTACCTGCATGCAGTAGATTTTCGCATGAATGGGATCACCGCAGGTCCATACGTGAACAACGGAATCTCCTATGGTAACGATAGCAGGCGAGGAGTCTTCAGACGAAGAGTTACTCGCTGTTTCTACCTTATACTGACAGGATGGAAGTGCGATGGGGTCAGAAGCCAGTGAAGCAGGTGGATGTGAGCTGAAAACGTGGACTTTGACTTTTGTAGAACTTTTGTTGGATTGAACAGCTACTATCACATTGAAAAGCGAGAAGAGTACAACTTACTTGACCCGCATTTCTGTTTGTACGATATTGTTGTCTTCTCTGTAATAGCATTCAACTCGATACGCTCGATCTCGATACGTGAGAAGGGTACTGTGATGGGCTACCACCATCACTCCAGCCATTATCAGTCCGCGCGGATTAATCTAGAATGCGTTTTAGGGGAGGAGTTCGCTCGAGCAGCGCCTAATTTAGAGATCTTCTCTGAATATAATACAATTGTTTATTACTTCTAAGCCTTCTCTTTCTGTATCTTTACATCTTCTACTTCACGCGAAGGCATGCATTCCAAAATAGGTCTCTTTGTAAGTTCACTATTACAATGCAATATAATTATAATTATATATATATATATATATAA